ACCAAACAGTGGCCGCCATTGGCGTCGTGCCGGCCATGCCAAAGGAACTCTCGGATTATGCGATTTAAACGCCGGAGGACGGGTTGGCAGATCACCATGGCCATGAGGAGGTGGATCGGCATCGCGGAGAGCACATGCCTGACAAGGGCGAGACGTTCGCCCCGAGAGAGCATGGAGGCGCGCCAGGCGCCGGGAGCGAGAGGCGCATGTTGAGCCTGGAGTTGTTTTTGTCCGCGGCGGCCGCAATCATGTTGAAGTCGCCGCCAAGGACCCAAGGGCCGGCGCAAAGCTCGCGGACATCTTGAAGATCCTGCAGGAAGTTCATCTTGTCGGAATCGGACTGCGGGCCGTAGACGTCCGTAAGCTAGAAGGGATGGTCGCCGTAGAGCGAGGATACCACGGCTGTGATGTGATGCGCCCCAAAGGTCGGAGAGGAGATCGTAAGTTCGAAAGAGCGCCAGGCTAACAGAATCCCACCGCAAGTGCCGACCGCGGGCAAGAAGTGAAAAGCGTCAAACGATGGCCCGAGGGTCTCCGAGACGAGGGGCATGGTGATCAGCTCGAGTTTGGTTTCCTGCAGACAAGCTATGGCAGGCAGGTCGGAGGACATGACGCTGCGAACGACAGTACGTTTGGCACCCGAGTTGAGGCCTCAGACGTTCCAAAAAAGAATTTTGAGGTTCTGGTCCATAGACAAAGGTCTGGTCCACGCACAAGCAAGGAGGCACGGGCGGCCTAGGCAGGCGTAATGGCTGTCGATGCTAGCGGCAGGCCGCGCGGTGGCCACACCCAGCCATAGAACTCGGCGAACGCCTGGATCACATCCGGATCGAGCGGCTACTGGAAGAGCTTGGCGTACTTGTCGAGTGCCTCGGGGTTCACCGGATCTCCGTCCTTCAATAGCCCAAGACGAAGCAGAAGCACACGCTTGGCCTTCATTCCTGAGTCTAGACCGCGGTCGGCCTTGGCGATCCGGTCGCTTCGGCGGGGGGTGAAGTTGTCTGGAATCTCATGCCGGTGGCGACGCGGCGGGGCCTGTAGCAAGGGAGTAACATCTTTCTGCACCGACTGGATGAAGCTTAAGATTGCATCTTGAGAGGAGCCCGGGCTGGCATCGGCGACGTCCGGGGCGTGGTCTTGTCGTTGCATGCGCTGCATGGGCTGCATGGAAAGCAGCGCGCCAGCTGTCGCCATACCATCCGGTGCGGTCGTTTGAACAGGAGTTTGCATGGCTGGGCCCCCTGAGCAGGCTGGGGTGGGGGAGACGGAATCAGAGTCAGCGGCACGCCCTGCAGAGCGGATCCGGGCAGGCGAGGCGATTGGCCCCCCGGGCAAGGAAGTGGCGGGGTCCTCAAGGCTGACCTGGGCGGGGGGCAGGCCCGAGGGCGAGGCAGGTGGGGATGGCACCCTTTGGCACGGCGCGCGCGTGCCTGCTGGAGAATCCGCAGCAGGCGCGGAGCAGACCGGGTCCAGCGGCAGAGGACCGATGGGAGACGGCGGTGCCCCCAAGGGATCAGACCCAGCAAGTTGACCAAGGGCAAGTTGCCCGTTGTCTACTCCTTGGACGATAGGCACAAGTGGGGGGG